GCCTCGAGTACATTACTGTGGACGTCGTCGTGGGGCACGTGATCCGTCACGGCAAGGGCGCGCTAATGTACAAGGTGGATATCCGCCACGCGTTCCGAAACATCCCCGTCCACCCACACGATTGGCCCCTCCTAGGCATGGTGTGGGACGGGCAGTATTACTTCGACAAGGTCCTGCCATTCGGGCTGCGGTCTTCCCCGGCTCTCTTCAACCTGCTGGCAGATGCGCTATGTTGGATACTCCGGCACAACTATTCCCTGGCCGACCTCGAGCATTATCTGGACGACTACATCGGCGTCGCCCCGCCTAGCCCCTCTCCATCGTCATCTACCGCAGCCATTCAACAAGCGACGCTGCTAACCGTGTTTGAGAACTTGGGCGTTCCAGTGGCTACCGGCCAGGACAAGGTCGTCCCTCCAACGACTGTGATGACTGTGCTGGGGATCGAAGTTGACAGTGTGGAGCAGGCGACTCGGCTCCCCCAGGACAAGTTGTCCGCCCTCCACGCAGCTCTGGCAACTTGGCTCCAGCGCACCGACTGCTCCAAGCGTGAGCTCCTGTCCCTCATAGGCACGCTGTCCTTCGCCGCCAAGGTGGTCCCCCCGGGCCGCACGTTCATTCGGCGCCTCATTGACCTCAGCACAACGGCTTCCTCCATGTCTGCCCGGATCCCGATCGATGAGGAAGCGCGCCTCGACATCGCCTGGTGGCATCGCTTTGCGGCCGACTGGAATGGGAAGTCATTCTTCCACGACCAGGCCTGGTCCCGTTCTCCTGACCTCCAGTTGTTCACAGATGCCTCCGGCGAGGGCTACGGGGGCTACTTCCAGGGCGACTGGTTTTTTGGGAAGTGGCCGGAGGAGTTTGAATCTCCTCAGCTAAGCGTTATTATGGTTAGAGAAATGGTTCCCATTGCCCTAGCTTGCTGCATTTGGGGTCCGTGCTGGGCAGGGAAGAAGCTGCTGTTTCATTGCGATAACGAGGCGGTAGTTAGAGCTTGGAAGAATGGTTCATGTAGGAACAAGCAGGCCATGGCGTTGATCCGTTTTATGTTAGCTGTTGCCGCTAGGCACAATTTCATATTGTATATCCGCCATATTGCTGGTACTAATAACGGCATTGCTGATGCTCTTTCTCGCTTGCAGCTGACCCGCTTCCGTCAACTGGCGCCAACGGCGGCTGCTTCGCCAGTGCCATGCCCCTGCCCGACCGTGCTGCTCTAGGCCTCGAGGCTGATGCCCTTGTAGCAGGTTCAGTGTCAGAACGCTCAGCGAGAACGTTCTCCACTGGCATTGATGCCTTCAATGATTATTGCGTTAAACATATTGTCAATCCCCTTGCACCCTCTAAGGAGGATATCGTATTATTTGCTACCGAGCTGTCTCGTACGAGGTGTGTGGCGACTGTGCGTGTGTATTTGTCAGCGGTACGGTATCATTTGCTGTGCAAGCGTGTTCCTGTGACTTGTATGCAGTCCGTCCGTCTTTCTGCAGTTCTCAAGGGCCTTGAGAGGAGGCAGGGTCCCGCAACCACGACGCGGAGAGGTCTCACTGGGCAAGATCTGGCCGACTTACAGCATTTCCTACTCCGGTCCAACTACAGCGAGTCGGACCGCGCAATGATCTGGGCCAGTGTCTTGACAGCGTTCCACGGCCTCCTGCGGGCGAGTGAGTTCCTGGCACCGCATGCAACAAGAGTTGATAGCACGCGCACGCTAACCTGGCAGCAGATCAGCGTCCAGGCATCATCGGCAGTCGTCCGCTTGCGGGTGACGAAGACAGCCCAGCTGGGTGACGGCGGCCAAGTACAGCTGCGCGAGACCCGCGACGACTTCTGCCCTGTGCGTGCCCTGACCGCCTATCTGGACCTTGCGGGTCAGAGAGAGGCGACGGAGCCAGTGTTTGTGTTTGCGTCTGGCCGGTTTCTGACCAGGGAGGAACTGACCAAGATTCTGCGGCTAGCCCTGAGGACGAACGAGGTCAGCTCTCACTCCATGCGTATCGGTGGCGCTTCACTCATGGCTCAGCGTGGGGCAAGTGAATGGCAAGTAAAGCGGGCGGGCCGCTGGAGAAGCTCTGCATGCGAACGTTATGTGCGGCAGGCAGCCGGGATGCCTAGCTTGTAAGTTATTGAGCGGCGCTCGCCATGATAACTAGTGTGTATATGCCTGCACGGGCGCGGTATTAATGTGAGGAATTCGCGGCACCTGCCGCTGTGGTCACAAAGCTAGCTCGTTGTGGGTTGCGGGGATCGGGATGCCATGGTTTCTAGGACTACTATCTTTTTTGGGGCAAACGGGCCTCCTATTATGTCTGTATGTTGTGACGCCTGATGCCAGGCAGTCGTGTGAGCCCTCGGTGGGCGATTGGCTGGCCTCGGTGGCCGTTTGTGTGCCCTCGGCGGGCAAGATGATATCGGCCCACGGTGGGCAGTTTGCTTGCCTCGGTGGCAATTTGCGCACCCTCGATGGGTTGTCTGCTGGTTTAGCCCTCGACGGGCGGTTTGCTGGCCGCGGCGGCCATTTGAGCGCCCTCGGTGGGCAGTATACTAGTTTACCCCTCGGCGGGTGGTTTGCTGGCCTCGGCGGCCATGTGTGCGCCCTCGGTGGGCAGTATGCTAGTTTAGCCCTCGGCGGGCGGTTTGCTGGCCTCGGCGGCCATTTGCGCGCCCTCGGTGGGCAGTAGGCTAGTTTAGCCATTTGGGCGCCCTCGGTGGGCAGTATGCTAGTTTAGCCCGCGGCGGGCCGCGGTGGCCATTTGGGCGCCCTTGGCGGGCGGATGCTAGTTTCAGGCATGCCTCTTTACTCAATCAATTATTATCAAAGAGCATATTCTTGAATATTTGAATTGTCCAAAAGAAATCATGGCAACCCCCAACCCAATGTGTCTATTGTACGTTTGTGCACGCCATAGTGAGCGGTACGTTGCGCGGGTGTCTGCGTGTCAGAGAATGGGTACACCAGTGGCGTGTGCGTGCATGTGTGCGCTTGTGTCTGGCTGCATGAGTGCACGAGTCCCCAAGCTGTGCGTGCGGGTGCACTTGAGGTGCTTGCATGTTGACGGGTGCAGGGGTTAAATGTGGGCTTTGCGCAGCAAAGCCTAGTTAGCCCATGCACACGCATGCTGGTGGTGGAGTGCTGCGAGTGCGTGTCATGTGACCACCTCGTGATTAAGCTGTGTGCGCCGTGTATGGCCTGGCAAAATTTTATGGACAATCGTGGATCCGGCGTCTAATTATTTGGAGACGTGTTTTGCTGAGCTGTCTTTGTGCGAAGGAGCATTCTTTGCAGTTGCAGTTTCTGTGTGAAGTCAAAGTTTTTTCCCTCCCTCCCACCCCTTTTGAAGGGGCATTTTGTTTCTCCGGTTGGGGGGGGGGGCAAACGGGCCTCCTATTATGTCTGTATGTTGTGACGCCTGATGCCAGGCAGTCGTGTGAGCCCTCGGTGGGCGATTGGCTGGCCTCGGTGGCCGTTTGTGTGCCCTCGGCGGGCAAGATGATATCGGCCCACGGTGGGCAGTTTGCTTGCCTCGGTGGCAATTTGCGCACCCTCGATGGGTTGTCTGCTGGTTTAGCCCTCGACGGGCGGTTTGCTGGCCGCGGCGGCCATTTGAGCGCCCTCGGTGGGCAGTATACTAGTTTACCCCTCGGCGGGTGGTTTGCTGGCCTCGGCGGCCATGTGTGCGCCCTCGGTGGGCAGTATGCTAGTTTAGCCCTCGGCGGGCGGTTTGCTGGCCTCGGCGGCCATTTGCGCGCCCTCGGTGGGCAGTAGGCTAGTTTAGCCATTTGGGCGCCCTCGGTGGGCAGTATGCTAGTTTAGCCCGCGGCGGGCCGCGGTGGCCATTTGGGCGCCCTTGGCGGGCGGATGCTAGTTTCAGGCATGCCTCTTTACTCAATCAATTATTATCAAAGAGCATATTCTTGAATATTTGAATTGTCCAAAAGAAATCATGGCAACCCCCAACCCAATGTGTCTATTGTACGTTTGTGCACGCCATAGTGAGCGGTACGTTGCGCGGGTGTCTGCGTGTCAGAGAATGGGTACACCAGTGGCGTGTGCGTGCATGTGTGCGCTTGTGTCTGGCTGCATGAGTGCACGAGTCCCCAAGCTGTGCGTGCGGGTGCACTTGAGGTGCTTGCATGTTGACGGGTGCAGGGGTTAATGTATTTTTACAAGACTACAGGAACATGTTGACAGGGAGGGGAGGGGGGGGGGGGGAGAATGGAGAGGGAAGAGAAGGCAAGTATGCGATTACATTGTATGGTAACCCTTTGGAGGAACTGTCACCCAAAATCTATCTTTACCTACAAGAATAATTATCGTGTTCGTGCCCCCTGATCAAAGTGCATGGGTGCTTTGAGAGCCCAGACTGCCTGCAAAGCTGCACGGTGATTGCACGTCGGACCCAATAAAAGGAGAACGCCGAAATGGAAGAAACATAACTGTAGCTTCGAAGACAAATACACGCACACATTCCTTATGCCTGTTACGTCTTGACCGACGATAATACATGTAGTTCTGTTTGAGAGCACGAAGGAATGCTCTGGCTGTTGCCTGAAGGGCGAACCTTCAACTCAATCACTCCCACCGGAATGGAACGAGCACAATTTGAAAGTCGTGTCCTTTACGTTCGACCTACGAAGTGTGCCAGTTACAGTGACCCAATTGCAGTCACAGTGCATACACGTTTTTTTTTAATTTTTTTTAATCACACACATTGCACATACCTACAGAAGATATACTCCTAGATTGGTTGAACGGTTAGCAGGAACTAACCAGCGCTAAAACCGCCTTCAGTACAACCTGTACATGTACACGAGCGAGAGACTCAGTGTTTGTCACAGACGAACACTCTGCTTGAGCTCCTCCCATATCACAAGGAAACAAGACTTAGACTAGTTAGAGAACCTCGCGGAACAGGATCTACATGTATGGCTGTGATGGGTGGGCATCTGCGGATAATGCCGGCAGAAAAATTGGCAGAATTCGGTACTTTTTCTGGTAAGTTTCATGCATGTTTGGTATGTGGATAAGGAAATGGAGCAGAATTCGAGGAATTGCAAGCCATAAGGTTTGTATGGTTCTGCCAATTTCACTGCTTTTCGAGCAGAATCTGCCACCTATTCGAGCATTATCCGCCAATGCCTAGACTGATGGGTACGTGTATATGTAGAATGAATGGACTGCACATACTCGTGCTATGCATTGTACTGTGTTCGATGGTGATGTAGTGTTAGAAACCACCTGTGCTGAACTCATACAGTAATACGATAAGAAGAATACAGTACAGCCTGTCAAGGCGATCACTCGAATAAGGCGACCACCTGTCACAGAAGACCACTGCAGCCAGGATCAAAATAATGCTGTTTCCAGTCAAGTTGTATGGATAAGGAGACCACCTGGTTACAGAGACCACATTTGAAGGTCCCTTGAGCGGTCGTCTTAGACAGGATTCACCGTACTGTGACGGTTTGTCACGGACCAGAGTGGCAGATGGTCTGCCAGAGCCTGCATTTTACACTGAGATCTACATGACATTGTACAACTATGCACGGTCTGTGATTGAATCACAGTCTGTTAGACATGTCTTGTGCAATACGATACAAAGCACGGTCTGTGCAGCACAGTCTGTTAGACATGTCTTGTGCAATACGATACAAAGCTGCTCAGAAAACATAAAAACACAACACGGGGAAATGAAAATTCATGAAAACCGGGATGCTCGCGTTATTGGGCATGCGCGTCGAAAAACAACGCGAGTTACCTGCAGCGGACGACAAAATTTGGAGTTTTACGCCAAATTTGACGTGAAATTGCACGTCACGTCGGAAATGACGTGCATCTTAAGGGGGCACATCACCCAAAAATTCGCTGAAAAATCGAATTTGTAAATTCATATTGAGTGCTACGTCAGTTGAAAGAGCATGAATAGCTGCAAATTCTCTGAAAACTGTGTCCCTATCTGACCAGCCGTTCAAGAGTTATGGCCGAAAATGTGCCCTTGCAAGGAAAGATTTTTTTGTTGCATGCTGTCATTTGTTGGCAGCACTGTATTTGAATGTGAGCAGACCGTGCGCAACTTGTCGTATTATGGAAACACGCGAAAGTGTGCAGAATTTTGCCCCAAGTCCAAAAAAGTCCAAAAAATCACGTTAAAAAACCACGTATTGGGCTGCACGGCGGCGGGCGAAGCCCGCCGCCGTGCAGCAGGACTTTTGCCAGCACCCTCGTGACGTTGCAGATATGTGGCTTGATTATTGTAGTTGACGTTGATTTAGTGACTTTGGCAAGTTTGAGTCGTGTCAAGAAGTCAGGTAGGATTCAGTACTAGGCAGTAGTGAAACGTGAGTGGCAATCTTTGCCGGTTTCTGAGGGCATCCTGGATTTGGTGTGCAGCGCTGTGGAAATGGCTTGCTGTGGAGGTCCCAGCACTGGATGTTGTATCAAAGGTACGACCTCGTAGCACGTGCTAAACCTAAAAAAATTCAAAAATTGACTTGGGTCTGTGGGAGTCCGTGAAAGAACGCCCACTCGTTCCGTTGTGACAGATTCCAGGGCCACGTTGAGGGGCCCTACCCCACCACCCATGGCTGCTTCTGGACTTGTTTTAGGTTTGGGTCCCGCGCATGGACAGAATGGGCCCGAAAATGTGAAAAAAATGTAAATGCATTTGTTTGGCTCTTGGGTGGCTCGCACACCGTAGCACTATGCCGGAAATTTGAGTTTTTCCGGCCTGGAAAGCCTGTCAGTGAGGCGCAAGAACTTGTAAATCATGTCCTGAGGGCCAGCATAGTGGCAGGAGTGTGTGGTCAAAATTTCACTCAAATCCACTGAGAAACACCAAAGTTACGGTCAATTGAATGCCATATGAAATTTTTGGGTGATGTGCCCCCTTAAAGGGGAAGTTAAGGCAAAAATCAAAATTTCACCAGTTGTAGTCTTCGGGGTGCTGAGTCGAATGGTCGTGGTCCGAGGAAGCTGAGACGCTCCCTTCCTACTTGAATCCCAATCGAACTCGCGCACTTCCACCGAAACTGGGTGACTGCGCCCTACTAGATGGGGATTTGTATGCAAAATCTCACTAAAAGCGCCATTTCGTTCTTATAAAAGCACGGATGACCGCGATTGGCCCATATTTTGTAGTCTTTTGGACGCTGAGTCGACTGGTTTTGGTCCGAAAAGGCTGCGATGCGCCGTTCCTCCTTTATTCCCAATCGAACATGGTTGAACAAGCGGTCACGTGCTCCTGCGTACACCAGTCACCTGGTCACCGTGCCTGCAGGGTACAACTTACTAGCCTGTTTGACCTTTTTTGGGTGCAGTCCTATCACTGGAGTTGAACTCGAGTTGAACCTTGGTGTGAAAGTTGTCACCTGCTGGCGCGGTGACCAGGTGACTTGGGCACCCAGGACCACGTGACCGCTTCTTCAACCATGTTCGATTGGGAATAAAGGAGGAACGCTGCATCGCAGCCTTTTCGGACCAAAACCAGTCGATTCAGCGTCCAAAAGACTACAACATATGGACCAATCGCGGTCATCCGTGCTTTTATAAGAACGAAATGGCGCTTTTAGTGACATTTTGCGTACAAATCCCCATCTACATGTAGTAGGGCGCAGTTATTATTATTATTATTATTATTATTATTATTATTTCATTTATTTTACTAGGGTGTTTCCCACAGACCTATGGTCTTCTTACAGGAGCCCCTAGAAGCAGTCACCCAGTTTCGGTGGAAGTGCGCGAGTTTGATTGGGATTCAAGTAGGAAGGGAGCGTCTCAGCTTCCTCGGACCACGACCATTCGACTCAGCACCCCGAAGACTACAACTGGTGAAATTTTGTTTGCCTTAAAGGGAAACTGAACGCCAAAAATAAGTATGGCTTATCCGAAGGAGAATTGGGCACTGATTCCGATGAGCTATGTCTCGAGCCGATCAGAGAAGAGGAACTGTGTCAAATTTCATAAATAACACCTCCCATATTTGGAAATTGGCCTTGATGACGTGCGTACTGCTTAGCTGTCACCATGCTGTGCATGTTCAGCAGTGTAATTGAATGGAAGAAAACAATTACTTTGGTGTTTTGCAGCTCTGTTTCGTTCCCTGACGGTAACCAAATCTAGATGTAGGAATCTGTTGAGCAGGAGAGTGACACATGTCTTCCCGAAGGCTGTCCAGGCTGCAGTGGTGATGAAGAAGACACGATCATCACCCCGAGATCGATCGTAGCGAATTGGAAAACTCATGGTGAATTTGCTTCCACTCCAAGGCAATGTCGAGGTATGAAGGGTGCTTGTACTGCCTTCCAAAGTGAAGAGGAGATGAACATGGCTTTGCATAGCTGTTCTATGCCAACTTACCTGCTCTTGCTGGCACCGTAGTGGCATATTGCAAATTTCGTGGACGAACAACTCTAGTCACTAGTGGCTAGTGAGCAACACTAACAGGTGAGATTTTTCAATTCGACAAAAATTGTTTTTGTTTGAGAACTGACAGTGGCAGTCATTAGACTCAGTAGGTGTCTTTGCTGCTTCTTTCCCTTCATTCGTAGGGTTGTGCTTGAATAGTACAAGTGCTTGAAGTAAAATAATAAATAGAACATGTGGAACATAAATCTAATCAAGCATCAGTACATGTATTGCGAAGTTTAACTTCAAAGCACATGAAATCACAATGATCACGAAGTTTATGTAATCAGGAGTACACCCTGTGTTCAACGAACACATACACACATGCTGTATTGCGCACACACATGCACACATGTGCGTGCACCCCCACCCCATCCCACAGACACACGCATGCAGCGCGCACATCCATACACATGTGCGTGTACCGCCCCCCCCCCCCCCCCCACACACACACTCCTACCCATACACATGTGCGTGCCCCCCCCCCACACACACGTGTGCACATACAGATACACAAACACACACGCACGAACACACACACACAAGATACGTGTAAGTGTACATGGTCTTCCTGGTGCAGATGCTGAGCCAGCACAATGGAAAATACCTCCATCAAGATGCTTGATCAAGTTTTGTGATAATGGCACTGTTTGTTTGTTTTTACAAAGAAGTGTGGGAAAGATTACAATGCATTATAATTCATAATTGTTCTTTGCCTTGTACTGTGCAGACCAGAATGCTTCGCTATCAACTCCTGGCTTTCCATCGGCATGGTGTTCAGCTGCAGCGGCATCTGGTCCGGGGAGTTCAAGTTGCTGGATGGCTGCACTGACACAGGATGGGTTTGCGTTGGCAATGCGATACGGCAGTCATCCCACATCACGAGCTACATGTTTATGTAATTTATATTGTCGCTCGTCCAGCAACGTCAAGGCTCTGCATGTAAACACAGGAGAACACCATAATACTACTCAGGGGATAATAATTTTGGATATCAATTTCGTGACAATTATTAGATTCACACAATATTCACAACGTATGCAACACGATGCTGTCTATTGACACTACTTCAAACTGAAGTGCTCACTACTCCTCTCCCGTTTTCATCTCCCTCTACCTTATGAATACTCTGCATTACTGGTTTCGTTTCTACCCTTTCCATTGCTGCCAGCTCCCAGTCTTTTTCAATGCACAGCACCACCTTGACAGTCATTTTTGTGATTTGATGTACACATACTTTGAAGTTCAAATTCGAATTACATGATCAGATTTTTGTTCCACATTTTCTATTTATTTTTACTTCAAGCACAACCCTACCGATGAAGGGAAAGAAGCAGCAGAGAGACACCTACTGAGTCTAATGACTGCCACTGTCAATTCTCAAACAAAAACAATTTTTGTCGAATTGAAAAGTCTCACCTGTTAGTGTTGCTCACTAGCCACTAGTGACTAGAGTTGTTCGTCCACGAAATTTGCAATATGCCACTACGGTACCAGCAAGAGTAGGTAAGTTGGCATAGAACATCAGCTATGCAAAGCCATGTTCATCTCCTCTTCACTTTGGAAGACAGTACAAGCACCCTTCATACCTCGACATTGCCTTGGAGTGGAAGCAAATTCACCATGAGTTTTCCAATTCGCTACGATCGATCTCGGGGTGATGATCGTGTCTTTTTCATCACCACTGCAGCCTGGACAGCCTTCGGGAAGATATGTGTCACTCTCCTGCTCAACAGATTCCTACATCTAGATTTGGTTACCGTCAGGGAACGAAACAGAGCTGCAAAACACCAAAGTATTATTGTTTTCTTCCATTCAATTACACTGCTGCACATACAGTGATACACAGCATGGTGACAGCTAAGCAGTACGCACGTCATCAAGGCCAATTTCCAAATATGGGAGGTGTTATTTATGAAATTTGACACAGTTCCTCTTCTCTGATCGGCTCGAGACATAGCTCATCGGAATCAGTGCCCAATTCTCCTTCGGATAAGCCATACTTATTTTTGGCGTTCAGTTTCCCTTTAACTTCCCCTTTAATTAACATCTCTAATATTAAAGGGGAAGTTAAGGCAAAAATTAAAATTTCACCAGTTGTAGTCTTCGGGGTGCTGAGTCGAATGGTCGTGGTCCGAGGAAGCTGAGACGCTCCCTTCCTACTTGAATCCCAATCGAACTCGCGCACTTCCACCGAAACTGGGTGACTGCGCCCTACTAGATGGGGATTTTGTATGCAAAATGTCACTAAAAGCGCCATTTCGTTCTTATAAAAGCACGGATGACCGCGATTGGCCCATATGTTGTAGTCTTTTGGACGCTGAGTCGACTGGTTTTGGTCCGAAAAGGCTGCGATGCAGCGTTCCGCCTTTATTCCCAATCGAACATGGTTGAACAAGCGGTCAAGTGCTCCTGCGTACGCCAGTCACCTGGTCACCGTGCCTGCAGGGTACAACTTACTAGCCTGTTTGACCTTTTTTGGGTGCAGTCCTGTCACTCGAGTTGAACTCGAGTTGAACCTTGGTGTGAAAGTTGTCGCCTGCTGGCGTGGTGACCAGGTGATTTGGGCACCCAGGAGCACGTGACCACTTGTTCAACCATGTTCGATTGGGAATAAAGGAGGAACGCTGCATCGCAGCCTTTTCGGACCAAAACCAATCGACTCAGCGTCCAAAAGACTACAACATATGGGCCATTCGCGGTCATCCGTGCTTTTATAAGAACGAAATGGGGCTTTTAGTGACATTTTGCATACAAATCCCCATCTAGTAGGGCGCAGTCACCCAGTTTCGGTGGAAGTGCGCGAGTTCGATTGGGATTCAAGTAGGAAGGGAGCGTCTCAGTTTCCTCGGACCAAGACCATTCGACTCAGCACCCCGAAGACTACAACTGGTGAAATTTTAATTTTTGCCTTAACTTCCCCTTTAATCAGCCACGATGGATCTCTCGGCAGCGACTATGGCTGTAGGCGACACGCTAGGGGCATGGGCAGAAAACATGGTTCGGCTACCACACAAACACGCACTTGCCAGCATTACTGGTAGCACTACGCTGAGACAACACCGGACGATTGAATGCTTCTCCGCTAGCAATGCAACAATCCTTTTCTGTAGAGCTGATGCGCACTTGCTTGAGTCATACCACCGGACGTAGAGAACACTGCCGGCACAAACGAGGCGTGCTCCACATCAAGCGTTGTCCGTAGATCTACGCCCGCTTCTTGACTTTCACACGAAGGCTGTATGCTGCCGAGACGGAGGAGGAGGAGCGATTCGAGGGCGCAAATCAGTTGAAAACCTTACATTGACATTTTTTATTTACATGTACTGGATGTGTGTGGGTGCGTGTGTTAAAGGGGAAGTTAAGGCAAAAATTAAAATTTCACCAGTTGTAGTCTTCGGGGTGCTGAGTCGAATGGTCGTGGTCCGAGGAAGCTGAGACGCTCCCTTCCTACTTGAATCCCAATCGAACTCGCGCACTTCCACCGAAACTGGGTGACTGCGCCCTACTAGATGGGGATTTGTATGCAAAATGTCACTAAAAGCGCCATTTCGTTCTTATAAAAGCACGGATGACCGCGATTGGCCCATATGTTGTAGTCTTTTGGACGCTGAGTCGACTGGTTTTGGTCCGAAAAGGCTGCGATGCGGCGTTCCTCCTTTATTCCCAATCGAACATGGTTGAAGAAGCGGTCACGTGGTCCTGGGTACCCAAATCACCTGGTCACCACGCCAGCAGGTGACAACTTTCACACCAAGGTTCAACTCGAGTTCAACTCGAGTGACAGGACTGCACCCAAAAAAGGTCAAACAGGCTAGTAAGTTGTACCCTGCAGGCACTTTAAAGGGGAAGTATACCCTAAAATCAAATTTTCACCAGTTGTAGTCTTCGGGGTGCTGAGTCGAATGGTCTTGGTCCGAGGAAGCTGCGACGCTCCCTTCCTACTTGAATCCCAATCGAACTCGCGCACTTCCACCGAAACTGGGTGACTGCGCCCTACTAGATGGGGATTTGTATGCAAAATCTCACTAAAAGCGCCATTTCGTTCTTATAAAAGCACGGATGACCGCGATTGGCCCATATGTTGTAGTCTTTTGGACGCTGAGTCGACTGGTTTTGGTCCGAAAAGGCTGCGATGCAGCGTTCCTCCTTTATTCCCAATCGAACATGGTTGAACACGCGGTCACGTGCTCCTGGGTGCCCAAATCACCTGGTCACCGCGCCAGCAGGCGACAACTTTCACACCAAGGTTCAACTCGAGTTCAACTCGAGTGACAGGAGTGCACCCAAAAAAGGTCAAACAGGCTAGTAAGTTGTACCCTGCAGGCACGGTGACCAGGTGACTGGTGTACGCAGGAGCACGTGACCGCTTCTTCAACCATGTTCGATTGGGAATAAAGGAGGAACGCTACATCGCAGCCTTTTCGGACCAAAACCAGTCGACTCAGCGTCCAAAAGACTACAACATATGGGCCAATCGCGGTCATCCGTGCTTTTATAAGAACGAAATGGCGCTTTTAGTGAGATTTTGCATACAAATCCCCATCTAGTAGGGCGCAGTCACCCAGTTTCGGTGGAAGTGCGTGAGTTCGATTGGGATTCAAGTAGGAAGGGAGCGTCTCAGCTTCCTCGGACCAAGACCATTCGACTCAGCACCCCGAAGACTACAACTGGTGAAAATTTGATTTTAGGGTATACTTCCCCTTTAAGTACTTTGTGGGGCCAGCGCTATTTTTTTCATGCCATCAGAGTACCAGATGCTGCATGCATGTACAATGTACAATGTACTACAATCATGTACATGTACCTGTATATGTACCTGGAGCTCCAAGTCTGAAAACATACATGTACAATCACATGTACATGTACAAAGTCATGTAACATCTTCCCGCCTAGCCCTGACTCGTAGCACACCATCCTCCCTCTCACTTGTCTGTGTTTGTATTTATACCCGAAAGGCCAGAGCCTATCGACCAAGGTTTCCAAAAACCTGATCAAAACTGATTATTGGCTCAACATCCGAGTTTTAAATTTGCACACCTGATGAGCCGTCACGAGCCATACGGCGAAACGTAGATCTACGTCATGTGAAACAATTACTGGTTGGTGCCAGAAATTTCTGGCACCAACCAAAAATACAACTTTTCGCTTTTAACCTTACCTGCAGTTCACGCACCTTTCCTGGATTATACAACTTAACTCCGCGGTTTATGAACTCTACAGTATAACTCTATAGCAGCATTGCGCTTTTTTCGCTCTCAACAGCATTTGTCGCTAGACACCTCTATGGTTGCAACTGCATTGCACCTATTGCACCTTTTACTGCATTTGTTGCCAGTCACCCCTATGATTGCAACTGCATTGCATCTATCGCATCTTTTACTGCATCTGTTGATTTCTTTTGCTGTGTATATAAGCTATAGTCAGAGACAACATTTTCATTCCTCTGATGAAGCACTCTATGTGCAGAAACCGGTCAGGTCTCATCCAAATATGTTTGTAATAATAGTACGAATTTTAATTAACTACTGTGCCTTTTGTTGTGCCAGGAGATGTTGATGTGTCGGGAGTTGTCCGTCCAAAATCTCCAGTACTTGTTTTGTAGTCAACTAGTCCATCACAATGTCATGCATGAGGAGTACAGTAGGAGTTTGGCTTTCGGCTTGCACAATTCGTTTTCGCAAAGCTTCCCCCTTCTTTACTTATCCTTGATATTTATGAGCCACCCAAGTTGGGTGGTGTGCTGCTTTGCTGCTTCGAATTGTAGTTAGACCGCTTTGTCAAATACATGTACATGTATCCTGCTGGTCTCGTCATCGTCCAGTAACAATCGACATTCTTTGTTCCGTTGGGACTGTAGCTTGTGCTCGTTTTCGTTGCGCTTGCCTTCCCCTCTTTGGTCTTTCCATAACCTTGAACCTTCCAAGTTGGAAGGCTGTCGGTTAGCGCTACGGCGATGCGTTGAAGCTACATGTAGGTGTCAGGGCGTCGAATGTCTCAGTACTCTGTCAGTTTTGTGCCTAGTTGTTGCACTTTCTGACTGTATACTATAGTATAGTATCTAGTTACAGTGACGGAGAGCTACAGTAACTCGTATCCATTATTATGTCCTTTTCCTTTCTACATTTATTATTGGCTCAACATCCGAGTTTTGAATTGTTTTTCCTAACTCCGTTTTCTTCCAACTGCTGGCCATGGCGTCCGTCTCTCAGCTCGTCAGCTGACAACAGTACCTGTTACTGTCAGTGTGTCACCACGGCATGAGACTGTCGTGAGAAGGTGCTCTCTGTACTGTAGACGAGGTTGGTGATGTCCCGAGTCCCGACACGGCCGGCCATGGTACATGCTAATGACTGTAAGTGTTGCACTCGAAAGGCACAAAGGGACAAAGGCACACAGGGAAAGGAGGCTAACACCACACTACTGACAGTCTGTACTACATGTAGTAGTACTAGGGCACCGTAGAGCAAAGCGTGGGATGAAGACTGAAGTGTCAGTGTGACCAACGCCAACGGTCTTGTCTTGTGAACTGAACGCTGAAGTGAAGAGTGAAGTAATAATAATTACTTCACTCTTCACCGTTCAGTTATCAATATCATGGTTATAAAAGCCAATACAAGTAGCGTGCGCCCTGTAGCTAGCTGTGCACATGACCGATGATTGCACGTAAGTCGTTTACGCTCCACGTACATCAATGTACATGTACATCGTAGGTCGTATGCGTTTGCATATGCGCAGCGCATTATGATTACAACTGATCCCGTTTTGTGCATGCAGGTACTACCACTACACATATTATTAGTACTAATACTACTCTACTAGTAGTTGTTCTGAACAATCTTTACTACTACTAGTACAGTACTAGTACTAGTAGTACAATGACTGTCTGCACTAGTCTTTTAGTTTGAGGGGAGACCTTTTCTTGCCTACCTCCAGTCTAGTTGTCATCGTGTGTCCTGGGTGGGCGAGTTACACGACGTGACGAGTAGGTTGGCTACACTACAGTCTGCGAGACTGCGACCAATTTTCACTGCACATCGCTCCACTAGTGGCACTACGCGTTGTGCAATGGAGCGCGGCTGGGCGTTGTGGGGCTGAACAAACCTGTATTGTCCAGACGCTGCTGTGTTTTACTTTCAGTGTCATAGTGTTTGTCGTGTACCTCCGAGCGCGACAACCAAATTAAAACTGCAAAAATCTAGTACTAGTAGCGACACGGAAACTCGACGTCTAACCCGACCAGTTGACTGTTTGCGCTGCTGCCTGCCTGCTGGCTCGCTCTCTGAGTCTCGTTTGCCATGAGGGCAACAAACGGAACGCAGCGGCGGATACTGTGTTGATGGCGTGAACATGTAGCTGCTGATCGCTGGCCTGTATGCTGCTTACACTGACTCGTACTGGCAGAGTTGTTCGTGGACCGTGAAACCTTCGTTCCAGGTTCGTGTACTACCGGTATACGGCAGCGGCAGCATTCCCGACTAGAATGAACTTGAAAACAAACCAAATGCCAGTGTTGACCTCGTCCTTGGTCTGGAAACGTGCGATCATTGTCCTGGTAACAATGGTCGCACTGATCTTTATTGCAGTGCAGCCAATGACCAATACCCAGCTTTCACTGCTGAGGAGCCGACAGAAGGGGAGTGGTAGTGCTCAGTTTCAGGCTCGACGTGATCCAGTCGTGTCTTCCAGGGCAAAGACACCGCGGCACCAGAATGCCGATGACGTGTCGGCACGCTCCTCCGCTGAGCGAGTGCGGCGCATGGACTTCGACGATGCTGAGCGGGCTGTTGTCAAGCGCTACCGTTGCCGAATGCAGGATCCGTGGCCTGCGACCCGAGCCAGTCCTGCCCCTCTGGCTGTGTTTAGCCACATGGTTCTGCCCAGGCCAGAGAATGGTAGCGTCGAGCGCACCATACGCATGCTGGAACGGCTCGGATATTCCTTGCGACGCCATGCACCGGGTTTGCCGCGTTACGTCATGCTCCGGAGAGACTCGCCGGAGCTGTGCCCCGGTGTGTGCCAGCAACGGCTTCACGACAGTGGCTGGAGGCTATGTACGGCCCCGTCCCTGGGTATGGCCCCGTCCCTGGGTACTTTGAATCAGGATGCTTTGTACATTGCGCCCAATTCCCGACCAAGCTACAGCAAGCGACACCCGTCACACGCCACCCAAGGCAATAGCGACCTGTTCATACTGCTCACACTGTGGAATGTCATCCAGTTCAAGCGCATTGTGTTCGTCGAACCGATCACTATGGTAACTGGCTCCATAGCAACGCTAATTAATACATCCGCGACAAGTCTAAGCATGCAACCAACACTCTCGGCTGTGCGCCTACGTGACGGAAGTTCAGTGGGGAGCATCGACACAGGGTTGATGGTTTTGAAAACCGGCCCTAGAGAATTTCTGCGTCTTCATGCACGCCTCAAGGCAGTGCAGCGAGTGCCCTCACAACCAGAGGGTAGCTTCCAGCGGTTTCTTGCCAACGCCTTCAGAGATAAAATACACGGCTTATCGTGTGCGAATATGGACACTTCAGCGATGATGTTAAGGGAAACCGAACGGATCCAGACGGACACAGGGGGAAAAGTCCGAACCAACGCAGATCTTGTCCACGACTCTGCCGCTGCTCTCAGTGATATCATGTTTCAAACGGATGAAATCGGGATAAACAAAGATACACGGCTGCCCGGTAGATCCAGGACAAGTATACATGCCGAGCATACTCAACATGGACAGCGGCATGAGCAACAGTGGCCACATCTATATCACCAGCAGCAGGACCAGCAACAGGAACACCAGCAGCAGCAGCAACAGCAGGAAAATCAGCAGCAGCAGCGGCAACATCAGGAGCATCAGCAGCACGAGGAGCAGCGGCAGCAGCAGCAGCAGGAGCAGGAGCAGATTAACTTCAGACAACGTACAGCGGTGCACTGGGACGGTCAGGAATGTCACGTCTTGAGCCGTAATGACACAGGGTACTGGCAGCTCCGGGCCGATGGAAGAGAGGTTGTGTGTACGCAGCGATGCCGATCGAAATCCGCGTGTTCCTTGGCCAGAGAATCTAAATGCGCGTGCTCCAGCGCCTGTTAGACTTGGTGATTAGGCAAAGCAGAACTGCTGATGTGTTTGTCAATGTCCTTGAATAGGAATGTAAACAAAGAATTGACACTTCTTCTTTTTTAAATCAAGCGATAAATAGAACTAATTCTGCCGTCATCAACGAAGTCAAAGTTTTCCGGAATTGGTTTTCGTTGCTTTCATCGGTGGAATATCGTGACTGAAGTGAAGGCAAGCCAAGAAAAACAATTCTTTGAAAAGTATCACTGGATAGCAAAGGAAAATAGCAAAAAAATATTGGTTGAGGGGCTTGAGACATGACGTGTTACGCTCTGCTGATAGCAGAAATTATTGACTTACAGCCATTGTTGCATTGACAACCGATCAACACACGTGCCACTGAATACGATGTTGAGGCCCCGGTGTGCAAACATAATCGTTATTTTCATTTCATTTCAGAATGAAAACATTGACCCACTTTGATTTTTAATCTTGATTTTTAAGATTTCTTAGCATTTCACTGTCAGACCGATTCCCCATGTCAACATAGGGGTCTTGGTCTTTGCTCACTGGACTGTTTCTGATGCCGTACTCACGTGTTCTCGTTGTGTGTGTATGTGTGTGTGTGTGTGTATGTGTGTGTGTGTGTGTATGTGTGCGTGTGTGGTGTCTGTGTATGTGTGTGTGTGTGTGGTGTGTGTATGTGTGTGGTGTGTGTGTGTGTGTGTGTGTGTGTGTGTGTGTGTGTGTGTATGTGTGTGTGTGGTGTGTGTGTGTGTGTGTGTGTGTGTGTGTGTGTGTGTGTGTGCGTGTGCGTGTGCGTGTGCGTGTGCGTGTGCGTGTGCGTGTGCGTGTGCGTGTGCGTGTGCGAGTGCGTGTGCGTGTGCGTGTGTGGTACATGGTGTGTGTGTATGTGTGATGTTTAATAAAAAGAAGTAGGGATTCACTGGCCAGAGACAGCCACCTCATAGCTGTGTGGTGTAGACCAGGCTGAATAGTGGCGGTCAATTCTTCATCCTTGCAAGCTGTTGAATGGTGCAATCGCAGCACAAGTTGCTATGGCTTCAGCTGTAGCATCGCTATCATCGCCTCCGGCGATGGGCGTCAAATGGTCCGTTGGTGTGTGTGTGTGTGTGTGTGTGTGTGTGTGTGTGTGTGTGTGTGTGTGTGTGTGTGTGCGTGTGTGTGCGTGCGTGTGTGGGGTAGCGAGTGTATGTGTTTGTTTGATTTTTTTAGAAAGTTCTCTTTCCACGATCAGTGCACCTCACTCATAAAATACCAGTCACAGGCAAAGGAGTTACTCAGCACGTGATGGGAAAAAACGTTTTGTGTAGTTAGCGTTTTTCTAGCTAAGGATATCTAGTACATGTACTCCTTAGAACCGTTGTTGCTGTATTGAGCCCTGGTTAGGAGTCAGCCGATAATACCCAGTGTAGTGAGCCCTGGTTAGGAGTCAGCTGATAATGCCCAGTGTAGTGAGCATTATACGGTAGGCTAATTATACCTGTAGTTGCTGGATTTCTATGCGTGGAGAAGTCATGGTCTCTACTCTAGATCACTCCAACATATTCATGATAATTATTATTATGTTCTGTCTATCCTGGCCTAGGACTAGGACTTAGGAGGCTAGTAGGTACATGATTGTACAGTCATGTATGTACACTGAGCCTGTGCAAGAAAAACACACAGTCAGCCAATCAAGTCGTTTCGAGCGTTCCACGTGCTAGTGTATGACTGTGTACATCATCATGTAGGTCTACTCGGCGCCGAGTCGGCGAGGCCGAAGGGCACTAGAACTAATATGGGGCATTGTGGGGATCATGAGTTCAGTCTGGCAGTAGACCTACACTAGGCTACAGGCAACTTCGCTAATAACGACTGCGGATATAACGACAATTCGCGAATAACGACAGAATTTCCATGCCCAGAGCAAAGTCACATCCAACTGTAATGCATAATACATGTAATGGGACTTCGGGTATAACGACACTTCGCGAATGACGACACTTTTCTGATGCCCTGCCATGCCGTCGGGCCGCCGAGTGTCGTTATACGCGAAGTTGACTGTACATGTACATGTATGATGATAATCGATTCGTAGATCTACGTAGGTCTATGTTTTATCGCGTGCCATGCACTTCCGCGTCATTTACACCTTTTTGCAACACATTCCAGTGAAGTCCTGCTGCGCTGCCTTCGCTTTGGTTGAGAATCAGATGTCGCTGTGCATCATTGCCATCAATCTCATCACTGGAGAAAGCTGAGCAAGATGATTCTTCGATGGCTGTGGCAGAGGTCGGCACTTGCGCTATGGGTGCTACGAACGAATGGTTCTGCATTTGATTTCGGCGCTTTCCGAAAATAATAGTGGGAGCAAGAGTATAGCCTATTGGATCTGAATCAGAAGCGACGCAGTTGCCACGCACCCGAAGCGATGGTGACGGAGCTCGTGGAAGCGAGCATGGAATTGGAGTTTGACTCGGACACACCGAGACGACACGCTTCTCTAGTTCGTGCTCGACCCGTTCATGTTATCAGCAGGATTGCGAGGCATTTCCGAAAAGTAAGCAGTGAAAATGCATTACACGTGTAATCAATTCATAATGAGAATAATTGGTGCTGTCATGGACGGGTGGTCCAGTATATTTCTTATGAACTGGATTCCCTGAGTTATTTATCACCGATACCGCGCATTCCGTTCTTGCTTGTACGGTTGGGTTGCCTTCCGAGAGCTAGTTGCCGGCCCCTAAGTAGCGCACTGGGCGATTCCGAGTCGAATTACAGCGGTGTCATTGTTTTCATTTATCGCATCGCCACAGATTTACGACCAAACACAGAAAAAATCTTTTCCAAAAGTCGGTAGGACAATTACAAGTAGGATTATACATTTCTGGACTTTTCGGACACAGACAAAGCTACAGGATTCTACATTGTCTTGGTCAATTTTGATAGACCCATTGTGTATAGACCCATTGTGTAGGTAACACTGAATGGTATGCAGGTACATGACATGATTGTATCTGATCATAGCATTGGATTCTGTGGAAGTCGAACTGACAGAGTGATTTAGACTTTCAGATACAGTAAAACCAGTGAAGGCCGCCACCTGGCCTAGAGGACTTCAAAAAACCCGGATCAATGGGTATCATTTCCACTAACACTAGCCTGGGGGGCAAGGGGGCCTCCACCCGTAGTGGAAAATTGTTGGCGATTGTGAAGAGTATTTGACAAGAAAGTCGGTTGCTCCCCACATTGGAGCTAGCGTTTCCCCCCACCGACTCCACTCAACACTTGACTGGCTCGCGTGTACATGGGGACTGCAGTTCGGAGAGGGCCCCTGTCAGCGATCAGCTTATTCAGGAATCACCGTGCATCTACAGTCACATCTAGATTCGGGTGCCTATTTTCCTACTGTTGGGCCAGTTTTTGCCAAGAACTTGTCGCAGAGTGCGCGAAATCTACTGCAACCGATTCATGATTGCTTGAAACACCAACAGTATGTTAAAGCGGGTCTTAAAAACTGCATCCGAAACGAAGCATCTTGGACCCGGGTCATCCGATAGACTTGCGTTGATCAGACACTGCAGTGCGGTGCGATATCTTGTAATACCTGTCGTTCTGTTGAATGAAAGTCTCTGTCTCTGTCCCTCTCTTAATCTCTCTCTCTCTCTCTCTCTCTCTCTCTCTCTCTCTCTCTCTCTCTCTCTCTCTCTCTCTCGCTTGGTCGGTGTCTTTATCCGTGCTATCGCAACCAAAAGAACAAACTGTGCGATGACGATTCGTCTTTGTGCTTTGTGGTTCGTCACGTTATCACAATGTAGTGGTTTGAAAAGTGATGGTGCAGAAGGTCTCATCAGGTTTACAACTAGCTTCGTTATGTAACCCTCCCGACCCTCCCGACTATGTCAACCTACCTGTGCTGCGCTGAGGAGTCCACAAAGGACGAAAAAGTTCTGTCCGCAGATTGAGCATCTGTCTGTGTGTGAATGTGTGTTGGTCTGCAGCTTGGTGTCAGTCACCTGGATGTGTTCCTGCTGGTCGTTCACGCAATGCTCTTTGCCGCTGCTCTGCTTGGCCTGGGCTTGGTCACGCTGAGTGCCCGCTACATGCTCCACGGCGTCGACATCTACCAATACAATTACGGAACACAGGAGTACAAACGTGCGTTCATCGCCAACTGCCTCTGCCCTGGCTTACTGGTAAGGACAGGCATAGCACGTTCAAGGGGAAGCTCCGGCCAGGTCTGGGCAAGGTCATGACGTCATCATGATGTCACCAAATTTAGTGCAAACTTCAAGCTGTTATAACTGGGGAACGGCTGCTCCGATCAACCTGGGACCTTCACCATTGGAATCAGTGTATTTTCGCTACCAGTTGTGAAGTTTTCATTTTAGGGTGAACTTCCCCTTTAACAACAACAACATGTCTGTATATACTTTTGTGGCGATAAGAACCAGCCGCAAGATTACGCAGTACTGTTGTCTGGTGATCGTATCGCTCGCAAAAGTCAGAGTTACAATGCGATCTCCGTGCTCTCCTTGTTGGTACTAAACACCTCTCACAAGAGGCGATCTGTCTTTGAGAAAACTTGTTTTTGTTTGCTGGCACCGAGTGAAACGCCCACTCACCATTGACATTGTAGCAGTATGCCAGTAGTATTGCCCTGTGTGCTACACACGAACTTCCGACGGATGAAGTGCAGTGGTAGCCTGAAGAGCCTTACGGTCAACATCTATCATTTTTTTTCTATTTTTTATTCTGCGTCTCACTCCTTTTTTTTCCTTTTTTTCCCTCGCAAACACACGATGTACCGCACAGAGACCCCCACCAACACACACACACACACACACACACACACACACACACACACACACACACACACACACACACACACACACACACACACACACACACACACACACACAAGTACAAGCACAATACTTCTATGTTCTTCCCACAGCCCGGTTTCCTTCCTTAACGATCTTTCTCTTTCCTTTCTCTGTCTTTCTTTTCCTGTTCCTTTCCCCTTGTTGCTGCTGTTGGCTGCTTCTGTGTGTGTGTGTGTCTCTCTCTCTCCCTCTCTCTCTCTCTATCTCTCTCACTCTCTCTATCTCCCCCCCCTCTCTCTCTCTCTCTCTCTCTCTCTCTCTCTCTCTCTCTCTCTCTCTCTCTCTCTCTCTCTCTCTCTCTCTCTCTTCCATAGTCGATAATCACAGCAGTGTTTTTCCTCATCAAAAAGTCGAGAAGGCAACGCAAAGCCTCACTGAAGCATCGCTCAGCAATAACGGTAAGCTGCGTAGTAGTCTAAACATTACATTGCATTTCTTGTTCATGCATCCCAGTGTTTTTCCTAGGAACAGCATCACTGCACTCATTGCATCTCCATGGTTGGATGGGGTATTCGTAACTACGAACGTCTCTCCCAGGGGACATCATATCAGACCATGACTCTTTCGTGCATGCATTTGAGCTCTGATACCGCATGGCTCATTCATGACATAACCAGTCAGGCAGGATTTGTATACAGTCAGTGATGACATAACCAGTCAGGCAGGTATTTGTACACAGTCTGTGATGACATCACCAGTCAGGCAGGTATTTGTATACAGTCAGTGATGACATAACCAGTCTGGCAGGTATTTGTACACAGTCTGTGATGACGTCACCTGTCAGGCAGGTATTTGTACACAGTCTGTGATGACATCACCAGTCAGGCAGGTATTTGTATACAGTCTGTGATGTCATCCCCAGTGAGGCTGGTGTTTGCATACAACCAGTCATGATATCATTGACCTGGTTTGAAGTTGTATACGGCAGGGAGCCGTAGCGTGCTGGGAGATAGCATGGAATGCTGTAATGTTATGCGATGTGTGTTTCACGCTCGGCCTTCCAGGTCTAGTCATCCTTGAAGCATTGCCGATTCATGCACGATTTACAGGACTGGGTTGTGTTTGGGGTCAGCGTGTCAAGGCCGGGACTGTGATCATCATTTCCATACACCACGGATCCTATAGAACGTCAAAACCGGGGGTTAGGCACGCACTGTTCTGGGTTCTGTGATATTGTGTTCTGTCCCTTGACGCTATGATGCCCTGGTCTAGAACCAGTCATGACGTGACTAGTCTAGCTGGTAGTTGCATGCCGCTAGCCGTTAGCATCTGCTAGCACAAACTGTGCACGCTATAGTACACACAGTCGTCTAATATCATCAGGCTGCGTATAGGGCTCTATGTCCAGTGCTGTTCATCCCTGGGTCTCTCTCCTGTGTGTCTCTGTTCATCCCTGTGTGTCTCTGTTCATCCCTGTGTGTCTCTGTTCATCCCTGTGTGTCTCTGTTCATCCCTGTGTGTCTCTGTCCATCCCTGCTCGTCTCTGCTCATCCCTGCTCGTCTCTGTTCATCCCTGCTCGTCCCGTATGGGCTCCTAGACCGCCGTCGCTCTTCTCTTACTACTGTTTGAGTTGGTGACATCGATAGGCAGCATGGTGATGGCATCATCCACTGTTGGTGCAATCCAATACATGCAGGTGAATAGATACACAGACTTTGGAGGTAAGTGTCCAATAATAATAGTAATACATTTTGATATAGCAATAAGGAGGACGAGCTAAAGTGACATTTAGAAGAAATGTTAAGTGATTATTGCCATATTAAAATTGTTGTCTCCTCGTCGAATATCTAAATAAGTTTTGCTCTTTGAAATCCGATCAAGCGATTGTGTGCGACACTGGTTGCTGTGCAGCGATTGACCTGTGAGCCCTGGGATAGTGATCTGGTGACGGACGCAAAGGTGATTCACGCAATCGGAATTCATTGAGTATGACTAGCAACTTACAGCGCAAAACAAAAACGATCATGAAGAAATTTGTACGTGATAGCCTGGTTGTTCTACAAACATAGTAGCACTTAACCCTTTGAAGCCCAAGGACGAGTATACTCGTCCAAACGCGCACTGTGTACACATTGAGCATAGATCACTGTACAAATCTTCGTATATCCGTTGTCCTTTCCTCGATTTTCACCAACAATAGCTTGTTGGGAAGAAAAGGAAAAGACCTTTCCAGCGGTGTGTCACTTGTGGCAGCGCGATGCGAAATACCCGAGCGCCGAAGACTGGAACGCCGTTGCATACTTTTGAGCTTGAGAATTTTGAAATTTTCGAGTAGGGCTCGCGTGCGCACGGGGTTTCCCCATGACTCATACCAGTGCAGCCTATGCGCGATGAGTACCAAGTTGACCGCTTGAACTTCAGCAGCACGAAGAACTTTGAATCGTTGTTTTGTGTTGAGTAAAAGTCATGAACCGAAGGAAATTGTTGCTGTGGGTGGTGTATCTCGTTCAGGCGCAATAGAGCTGCACTCCAGGGACTTGGAGGCGCTTCTGTTGCTTCTGCGTAGTGTCTAGTCTTTATCTTTGGATGGAGGAGATCACAAGCTTTTCAGGAAGCTCCAAATCATGAGATTCCATTGCTGGTCAGTGAGTTATGAAATTTTGAAATCGTCCATCTGTGGTTGCGTGCAGCGCTGCGTGAGTCCCTGGGAAATCAGAAACCCAGCTGGGCTTCAAAGGGTTAAGGGATGTGGTCTGCAGTGCTATATTTCTGTGTGTTCACATGTGTGTGTGTATTTTTTATTCATGTATGTATGTATGTGTGTGTATCTGTGCGTGTGTGTGTGCATGTGTGTGTGTGTGTGTGTGTGTGTGTGTGTGTGTGTGTGTGTGTGTGTGTGTGTGCATGTGTGTGTGTGTGTGTGTGTGTGTGTGTGTGCATGTGTGTGTTTGGGTGTTTGTATGTGCGTATGCTTTGCCCTCCTCTCCCTTGTTTTAAGATCAGTGTGACTATCTGCCGGATTTGTCTCAGTGTCATTGTCGCATGCTCTATGTAACTGGTGTGGATACATGCTCTGAGATATTCGGTAAGTAAACTGGCCAACATTACCATCTCTTTGATCGCTGCTAATAGAGCTACCGCGGCTAGGCCTAGTGCTGCCAGAGCTACTGGTGTTGGGAGCTACTGGTGCCAGATCTGCTTGTGCAGGAGCTGCTTGTGCTGGGGGTAATGGTACCAGAGCTGCTTGTGCTGGAGCTAATGGTGCAGGAGCTGCTTGTGCTGGAGCTAATGACGCGAGAGCTGCTTGTGCTGGAGCTAATGATACGTATTTTCTTTATAATGCTGCTGTGAGTGTTCCTTCCACCGCTGTTACTGCTGCTGATGGTGGTATTGTTCCTTCTGCTGCTTCTGTTGCTGCTACTGATTCTGCTGCTTTTTCTGCTGCTACTGCTGCTGCTTCTGCTGCTGCTTCTGCTGCTGCTGCTGCTGCTGCTACTGCTGCTGCTACTGTTGCTACTGATTCTGCTGCTGTTTCTTCTGCTGCTGCCACTGCTCCTGCTGTTGCTACTGCTGCTGTTGCTACTGCTGCTGCTCTTTCTGATGCTAATGTTTCTGCTGCTGCCACTGCTGCTGTTGCTGCTGCTACTGCTACTGATTCTGCTGCTGTTTCCGCTGCTGCTACTGCTGCTGCTACTGCTGCTGTTGCTACTGCTACTGTTTTTGCTGCTGTTTCTGCTGCTGCTGCTGTTGCTGCTGCTACTGGAGCTGCTACTGCTACTGATTCTGCTGCTATTTCTGCTGCTGCGACTGCTGCTGTTTCTGTTGCTGTTTCTGCTGCTGCTGCTCCTGCTACTGTTTCTGCTGCTGTTTCTACTGTTGCTGCTGCTACTGCTGCTGTTGCTACTGCTACTGATTCTGCTGCTGTTTCTGCTGCTGCTGCTGCTGCTTTTGCTGCTGCTACTAATGCTGCTGCTGCTACTGATTCTGCTGCTCTTTCTGCTTCTGCTGCTACTGCTGCTGCTACTGCTGCTGTTGCTACTACTACTGATTCTGCTGCTGTTTCTGCTGCTGCTGCTACTGCTGCAGCTACTGCTACTGATTCTGCTGCTGCTGTTGCTGCTGCTGCTGTTGCTACTGCTACTGCTACTGATTCTGCTGCTGTTTCTCCTGCTGCTGTTGCTGCTGTTGCTGCTACTACTGCTGTTCTTGCTGCTGTTACAGCTGCTGCTACTGCTACTGATTTTGCTGCTGCTGCTACTGCTGCTGTTGCAGCTGCTACTGCTACTGATTCTGGTGCTGTTTCTGGTGCTGCTGCTGCTACTGCTGCTGTTGTTGCTGCTGCTGCTACTGCTACTGATTCTGCTGCTGTTTCTGCTGCTGCTACTGATTCTGCTCCTGGTACTGCAACTGCTACTGATTCTGCTCCTGTTTCTGCTGCTGCTACTGATTCTGCTCCTGGTACTGCAACTGCTACTGATTCTGCTGCTGTTTCTGCTGCTGTTTCTACTGTTGCTGCTGCTACTGCTGCTGTTGCTACTGCTACTGATTCTTCTGCTGTTTCTGCTGCTGCTGCTTTTGCTGCTGCTACTAATGCTGCTACTGCTACTGATTCTGCTGCTCTTTCTGCTGCTGCTGCTACTGCTACTGCTGCTGTTGCTACTGATTCTCCTGCTACTGTTTCTGCTGCTGTTTCTACTGTTGCTGCTGCTACTGCTGCTGTTGCTACTGCTACTGATTCTGCTGCTGTTTCTGCTGCTGCTGCTGCTGCTGATTTTGCTGCTGCTACTAATGCTGCTGCTGCTACTGATTCTGCTGCTCTTTCTGCTGCTGCTGCTACTGCTGCTGCTACTGCTGCTGTTGCTACTGCTACTGATTCTGCTGCTGTTTCTGCTGCTGCTGCTACTGCTGCAGCTACTGCTACTGATTCTGCTGCTGCTGTTGCTGCTGCTGCTACTGCTGCTGTTGCTACTGCTACTGATTCTGCTGCTGTTTCTCCTGCTGCTGTTGCTGCTGTTGCTGCTACTACTGCTGTTCTTGCTGCTGTTACTGCTGCTGCTACTGCTGCTGTTGCAGCTGCTACTGCTACTGATTCTGGTGCTGTTTCTGGTGCTGCTGCTGCTACTGCTGCTGTTGTTGCTGCTGCTGCTACTGCTACTGATTCTGCTGCTGTTTCTGCTGCTGCTACTGATTCTGCTCCTGGTACTGCAACTGCTACTGATTCTGCTCCTGTTTCTGCTGCTGCTACTGATTCTGCTCCTGGTACTGCAACTGCTACTGATTCTGCTGCTGTTTCTGCTGCTGTTTCTGCTGTTGCTGCTGCTACTGCTGCTGTTGCTACTGCTACTGATTCTTCTGCTGTTTCTGCTGCTGCTGCTTTTGCTGCTGCTACTAATGCTGCTACTGATTCTGCTGCTCTTTCTGCTGCTGCTGCTACTGCTACTGCTGCTGTTGCTACTGCTGCTCCTACTTCTACTGATTCGGCTGCTCTTTCTGTTGCTGCTCTTTCTGCTGCTGCTCTTTCTGCTGCTGCTGTTGCTGCTGCTGTTGCTGCTGCTGCTGCTGCTTTTGCTACTGCTACTGCTACTGAGTCTGCTGCTGTTTCTCCTGCTGCTGCTGTTGCTGCTGCTACTGCTGCTGCTACTGCTCCTGATTCTGCTGCTGCTGCTGTTGCTGCTGCTACTGCTGCTGCTACTGCTACTGATTCTGCTGCTATTTCTGGTGCTTCCGCTGCTACTGCTGCTGTTGTTGCTGCTGCTGCTACTGATTCTGCTGCTGTTTCTGCTGCTGCTACTACTGATTCTGCTACTGGTACTGCAACTGCTACTGATTCTGCTGCTGTTTCTGCTGCTGCTGCTGTTGCTGCTGCTACAGCTACTGCTGCTGTTTCTACTGCTGCTGTTTCTGCTGCTGCTACTGCTACTGCTACTGCTACTGCTGCTGTCGCTACTGCTACTGCTACTGCTGCTGTTTCTGCTGCTGTTGCTGCTGCTACTGCTGCTGCTGCTACTGCTGCTGCTTTCGCTACTGATTCTGCTGCTGTTTCTGCTGCTGCTACTGCTACTGTTGCTACTGCTGCTGCTGCTGCTGCTGCTGGTTCTGCTGCTGCTAATGCTGTTGCTGCTGTTGTTGCTGCTGCTGCTACTGCTACTGATTCTGCTGCTGTTTCTGCTGCTGCTACTGATTCTGCTCCTGGTACTGCAACTGCTACTGATTCTGCTCCTGTTTCTGCTGCTGCTACTGATTCTGCTCCTGGTACTGCAACTGCTACTGATTCTGCTGCTGTTTCTGCTGTTGCTGCTGCTACTGCTGCTGTTGCTACTGCTACTGATTCTTCTGCTGTTTCTGCTGCTGCTGCTTTTGCTGCTGCTACTAATGCTGCTACTGCTACTGATTCTGCTGCTCTTTCTGCTGCTGCTGCTACTGCTACTGCTGCTGTTGCTACTGCTGCTCCTACTTCTACTGATTCGGCTGCTCTTTCTGTTGCTGCTCTTTCTGCTGCTGCTCTTTCTGCTGCTGCTGTTGCTGCTGCTGTTGCTGCTGCTGCTGCTGCTTTTGCTACTGCTACTGCTACTGAGTCTGCTGCTGTTTCTCCTGCTGCTGCTGTTGCTGCTGCTACTGCTGCTGCTACTGCTCCTGATTCTGCTGCTGCTGCTGTTGCTGCTGCTACTGCTGCTGCTACTGCTACTGATTCTGCTGCTATTTCTGGTGCTTCCGCTGCTACTGCTGCTGTTGTTGCTGCTGCTGCTACTGATTCTGCTGCTGTTTCTGCTGCTGCTACTACTGATTCTGCTACTGGTACTGCAACTGCTACTGATTCTGCTGCTGTTTCTGCTGCTGCTGCTGCTGTTGCTGCTGCTACAGCTACTGCTGCTGTTTCTACTGCTGCTGTTTCTGCTGCTGCTACTGCTACTGCTACTGCTACTGCTGCTGTCGCTACTGCTACTGCTGCTGTTTCTGCTGCTGTTGCTGCTGCTACTGCTGCTGCTGCTACTGCTGCTGCTTCTGCTACTGATTCTGCTGCTGTTTCTGCTGCTGCTACTGCTACTGTTGCTACTGCTGCTGCTGCTGCTGCTGGTTCTGCTGCTGCTAATGCTGTTGCTGCTACTGCTGCTGCCACTACCGCTCCTACTACTGCTGCTACTGCTACTGATTCTGCTGCTGTTTCTGTTGCTGCAGCTGCTGCTGTTGCTGCTGCTGCTGCTAGTGCCACTGATTCTGCTGCTGCTTCTGCTACTGGTACTGCTGCTGTTGCTCCTGCTGCTGCTACTACTGCAGCTACTGCTACTGATTCTGCTGCTGCTGTTGCTGCTGCTGCTACTGCTGCTGTTGCTACTGCTACTGCTACTGATTCTGCTGCTGTTTCTCCTGCTGCTGCTGTTGCTGCTGCTGTTGCTGCTACTACTACTGCTCTTGCTGCTGCTACTGCTGCTGCTACTGCTTCTGATTCTGCTGCTGTTTCTGCGGCTGCTGCTGCTGCTGCTACTGATTCTGCTGCTACTGCTACTGATTCTGCTGCTGTTTCTGATGCTGCTGCTACTGCTGCTGTTGTTGCTGCTGCTGCTACTGATTCTGCTGCTGTTTCTGCTGCTGCTACTACTGATTCTGCTACTGGTACTGCAACTGCTACTGATTCTGCTGCTGTTTCTGCTGCTGCTGCTGCTACTGCTGCTGTTTCTGCTGCTACTGCTACTGATTCTGCTGC